CTGGTCAAATTTGACCAGAACAATGAATTCAAGAGGCCAGGGATTTGTTTCTCATTAAATTCCTTTTTATGATGCTGTATAAAATCACTTTATCTCTTTCTTCTTCAAGAGGAAGAAATATTCTATCTGGAGGTATCCATAAGAAGATGAAGGTAGTGATCATGTTTTGAATGCTTCAAGGCTTTTGATAACCACAAATGTTATCTCCACTCATCACATTTTAAAAAGATAAAGTTATTCTCATGATGTCTGTGTTACTACTTTAGGAGGCAGAAAAACTTTTTTTTTTGATAGTATAAATACATTTTATTAACTTTGGATATGCCAATGTGACCAATACAACATTAGAAAAAAATAGGGCAAACAAAGTAATTCAGTGGAAAATGGAAGTTTAAGTCTATAAAACTCATTTTAAATGTCACAGATGTACCACTGTTTTTGTCTAATACATCATTTCAAAATCTGAGAAAAACACTTTTATTTTATTTTATTTTTTTTTTCCCTTTTTTTGTCTTTTTCGTGACCGGCAACGGATCGCAACCCTCAGTGTTGCACCCGTACCGGACCGGGACCGGCTACGGGATCGCAACCCTCGGTGTTGCCCCCGCACCTCACTCAGCCAGTGAGTGGCCGGTCTGCATGTGGGATCCGAACCCTCGGCGGGAGCGCCGTCGTGCTTCCCAAGCGGCGCACTGTAGCAGTGTGCCACCGGGCCGGCCCAGAAAAACACTTTTAAATGAGTTCATTTATCCAAAGAAGACTTATTGCGTATGGTAAGCTGCACAAAATACCATGGTATTTTAACATACAGACTTGATTGATTGAAAAAACCCTAATGTTCCAGGTCTGTCTTGCCAATGATCTGCAAGTCATAAACTCTGTTACCAGGCCCTAATGGAATTTGTTACCAATGCTACTTTTTGTGTCAATTTATAATGATTCTTAAACTCAGAATTTTCTTTGTGGGGCACAGGCATAAGAAGTGAAATTTTTCCAAATTAATATTTCTACAGCCAAATTTTTTATACACAGCAACACATTTAATGTATGACTGTTATGTACAAGCTAGCATGCCATGTACTACTAGGGATTATAGAGAACCAAAGACACAGCTTCCAACCTCAAGGGCTCCAATAAAAGAGGTAAATGTCCAGGAGGAAATGGTATAGGTGAAGGTAAGATTACTTCTTATGGGGTGGATCGCCGCTCTTTAGAGAGCCATGCCCTGTGAGTTGAACCTTAAAGAACAGATATAATTTGAATATAGAAACAGACACAGGGCGAGAGCTCTCCTGGAGTGGAAATAATGAGCAAAAGCAGAGAGTAGGAAACTATGGAGCTTGAAGAGAAATACGGAATAGTTCATGGTATATAAAGGGGCAAGGTAGGAAATAAGATTAGAAAGGTAAAGTTCCAGTTTTTAAGTTGATAGGTAAAGATCATTCTGCTTTTTTTTCCCCCCTTAAAAATTACTCAATACAAGAAACAGAAATATGAACTTCATCTTTAATGAAACTAGGAGAAATCTGAATGATAGATTACTAAAGTTAGTGGATAATCAAATGTAATTGCCTGCAGAAGGAAATACTGAAAAGAAGTCTATCACATAGGATTTATATCAGTTGCTAATTAACAGATACCCAAAACAGTAACAACTTAAACAAGGCAGAATTATTTTTTTCTCACATGAAAGAAAGCTGAAGATGGGCAGTCCAGTCCAAGCCTGCCACCCTTAGGATCTTCAAGGATCTGTTTATGGACACAAGATAGTTACTGGAGCTACAGCCACGACATCTGTGTTTCAGATACCAGAAACGAGGGGCCCATAAAGGGATACCTGCCTTCCATCTGGGTTATCTCCCTTTAAAGCAATTTCCCTGAAACTGCATCTTGTGACTTCTACTTATGTCTCAGCGTCACCTTTTTCTGCAAAGGAGGCTGGGAAATTTTATTCCTAAGTACATTGTTGCCCCCAGTAATACAGGAATCTCTTCTTAAGGAAGGAGCAGAGCAATAGACATTGGGAAGGTAGCTGGTGTTCTCTGCCGGAGAAGGTGGTTAACTTACCCACCTTCCCACAGAACTCTAGAAAGGTTTAGTCTGCCTTCCCTCCAACCTCAGTTCTAGAAGGCCAGCAGCCAGGCTCACACTTATCACATAGCAAACTGGAGAAACTGAACCACCCCAGATAAAAAGACCTATAGATACCATCATTTGTGTTCCCCTATTAAAATCCCATCTGGTATGTTCATTCCCAGGTAAATCCAAGAGAAATGAAAGCACATGTTTACACAAAAATGAATGTACATAAATGTTTATAGCAGCATTATTCATAACAGCCAAAACTGTTTGATGGAGTTTGGATGTGTTGTCCCTTCCAAAACTCATGTGGAAATTTGATCTCCAATG